ATCCATTATTAAAATAATATTTCATTTGATTCTGATGATTCCTTCATGGTGTTGCATTTTCTACAAACAGCAGTTTAAAAAGATTATTCCTAACCAGTAGCTCGAATAATGCACACTGTATCACTGCCGAAGTGAGTCATTAAAGCAACCAGAGAGAGACAATGTACGATGGAAACTCTTCAAGGGCCTTTGAAGGTCAGTTGAGAAACATAATGAATTGGTCAAAAGCCCGTAAAGGGATTCTATATCCTTACTGTAACCACTTGAACTTAGAAATGTTTTAATACAGTTCAAGAAAGCTGTCCCAGTTTTTAACTAATATTTTTAATTTGGAGATCATAGAATAAGTGTGAATTTTGTAAATATGCTAATAAATTGTTTCTTAACAGATTACATGTACCTGGCAGAGCATACAGATCTGCGTCACGTGATGGGTGTGGGGATCGCCATCACCAGAGGATCTGCTGCAGCACTTTCGTTTTGCTATTCGGTCCTACTTCTGACCATGTGCCGCAATCTGTTGACGAGGCTCAGAGAACTGCCTCTACACCAGTACATTCCCCTAGACTCTCACGTTCAGTTTCACAAAGTGGTTGCTGCCACTGGACTCTTCTTTACACGTGAGTGACATAAATTTGACATTTATAATAGGTTAACCCTTTTGAGGCCAGTTTTTTTTCTAGATATGTAACGTTGGAATATTTTAGAAGTTGATATTTATTTGTAAAAAGACATTCTTTTAGCCAATCACATAAAATTTAATTTTTGACCGGGAAAGCCTGGTTGGTAAGGGTTTGGACCCATGTCCAAATAAAGATTAACTGCTTTCATAATAGACAATATCAAATGATTTTTCTGACAAAGTTCTACTTTAGATTTCACACTCTTCACATATTATTTGCATTTCTGCAAATAATGTGTTCAAGAGGTCGTGGGTTCGATCCCTGCCGGCTGAAGACTCCCCGTGTAGTAAATGCTGATTGGTGCACGTTAAATCTCTCGACTCACAATGTCCTCCCTGCTAGCATAACAAATCATACCTCAGGGGATACTGATCCAGGAAATTCCTTGTCTTCCGGATTGGTTCGAAATTACAAGGTTACGGAGTTGAAAATTGGTAGTCGCAAACCCAAAATTGGATCAGCTGTTCAACGACTGTTATAAAAAAATATTTGTTTGATTTTTAAAACCACTTTTGTTAGGTGGGAAAAAAATTGAAATTTTCACACTTTCCCCCGTTTTTATTGACCTAAGACATAAATTTTCTTCTGTGTGTAAAACTAGAAATAAACTCGATGATCAAATTAGCGAACGCACAACGATCTCTTTTCTCTCTTCTCTTCTTGACCCCACAATAACCATCACTGTTACCCGCACTTCAAACAAAGCCTTTCAGTTATATTTTTAAAGTTATCAACAGATGGCAGCACAAATCATAGCTTAAAAATAGTTTCCCAGTTACATTTAAAAATTAATGAAGTTGGTGGAAGTGAACATTCCATGAACTCATTAAGGGTTAAGACAAAAGTTTTCAGGTTTACCTGAATAGATATTGTAACTGCACTGAGTTGATACTGTCGAGTTCATGTGCTGCTTGTTACATCTTGTAATTAATCATCGGATTTTGCGTTTACCATAAGTTCCTCCCAATCAGTGGGCGGTTAAGACTTCTAGAGGGTCGCTGGGATATCCTAATGCATAATTTTTTTAAAGTGCACTTTTCAGCAATTTATTACTGACCAAATTTTATAGATATTATAACACTTTGCTTGCTGTTCTACTCATTTTTCTTTTTGTTACACTTAGATGTCTGATACGATTTACTTTTATTTCTCATTTTACCTTCTATAGCTTCTTTTTTTTAATCGTTTTACATATTGTCTTGATAGTTTTTTTATTCATTTTAATAAGCATATACAATAGTTTGAAACTTTTAAGATAACTTCCTTAAAATTTATTTTACACCCCATTTAGATGTTCGCACCGAGTAATTCTCTTGCTCATGAAGGTTACTTTCCTAAAAAAAAATTTTTTAAAGTATGTTCAACGATAAAATCATTGTTAAGTAGGAATTTTCAATAAATGAACTATGCGATTAAACGAATACCATAAATTTCGTCTTGTAAATTAGGCGATGCACCGAAAAATGTTAGGAATTTGTGGTATAGAATCAAAAACAAAGCCTCTAAATAAACTTATATATTTTATATTTATTTTATCAAACATTAATTATAAAAATCGAAATTAAAAAATAATTTGACTTCCTTCAAAAATTTGTTTTAAAACATGTTAAAAACTACATAAGAGCGTGGAAAGCATACTACCGTAAACTTCAAAATTCAAAATTTTTAAAATTGTAATAATTTTTGAATGTCAATGAAAAAGTATTTCCCGGCAATGAAATTTTAAAACCTAATAACTTCAGAAATTCTAAAAAAAAAATAAAAAAAACTGTGAAGAGTTTGTTTTCAGAAATGTAGATAACAGTAAATATTCGTATTGGTCAAAAAGAGAGATCATTACTGGGAAGCTATTTTCACTAACGCGTTGGTACAAGGGACGTTAAAAAAATTTTTTTTCAATTTTTGAGTTACAATTTTAAAATTTACAACACTTAGTTGTTGCATCTTAAACAGACTAAGCATGAAGTTTGGTGACGATTGTTCAATTAGTTAAAAAATAAATTAAATTTTAATTTTTTTAAAATACCCAAAAAAGGAAATATTTGAAATGCTCCATGCGTTTTGAAAAGCAAAGCAGGAAGTTAATTCTTTGTTACAAGATTTTTATTATATTTCTAAACAAAATTTGCGATAATTCATATCTTTTAACCAATTTTAATTTTAAAACAATTAAAAAACACATAATTTTAACTAAAATAGTTACATAAGAATTTTCATTTGTGACTAAAAAATTTTTTTTACTCGAGTTAAACCTATAATGCATCGCAAGTTTCATTTAGACATGTATAACGAGCAATTTGATGAAATATAATTAAAAACAGATAAAAATTAAAACGTCTGGAGCATTTCGAAAACACAAAATTTACCAGAATATTGATTTTGAGAAAAAGCCAGTTTTAAAATTTGCACACAATAATACACTATTTTTTGCTGGAATAATAAATTTTTAATGAGTTTAATATGTGTAAAATACTTATGATTAACCTCATCAGAAATTATATAGTATTTAATAATATTCAAATGAAAAATAATCCAAAATAACAATGTTATTACAATACTTGAAAAAGAAAACGAGAAAGATGTGATAACATATTTTTAAACATACTTCAAATATATTACTTTTAACACTTAATTTAATGTTCAAAATTCGCCTGCAGAATATTTCAACCCTTCTTTTTTAACTGATTTCTTTTCTAATGATATTTTTTTTATATTTTCTTGAATTTTTCTCTTCCTTGAATTTTTGAGAGGATTTTCGCTTTTTCTGACTTGCACGCCTGCAATCTTTCCTTTCAGCAACTGTTACAGAGCTCTGATAAATATGTTAATTTTTTAATTTTTATGTCTCAACATAACCTAAATTGTACTCTGCAACTGCAGCAATAACGCCAAGCTCAAATCTTTTTTTGGAGATAAGCACTTCTTTTGCACACTTACGCCAAACGCAACTGCAAAGGGGCGTGGTCATACTAAAAAAGCTTATATCTCGGTGAAAAATGATCAGATTTTAATTATTTTTTTTTTAATTTAAAGCTTATGATTCCTACTTCAAATATAAAGCAAAATCTCAAAATTGAAAATTTAGTCATTTTATTCGAATTTCAACGTCCCTTGTACCCTTAATTCTTTTTTCTTCGATACTTATAAACACTAAATTTATAGACTAGGTTATTTATATGCACAGAAATGCAAGTTTATCACCAGTTCTTTATGGAAGCTCAAAATCTGATATTTCCACCTACCTTTCCACAAAAAAATGATCTTAAAAATAAAATTAAGTTTTATGTAATAAGCTAAAAAGAATTTCTTTTTATAAATCAAGACTAAAGACATTTTAACATAACACTACCAGAAATGATCTTATAAAGGGTTAAAATACAAATAAATTAAAGTTTTTTAATTATTAATTGCACTTTTAAATGATTATTTTGGTTATACTAATTGTTGCTTTGATAGATGTAGCAATAAACAGTTTTTTGTGCTGTAGCATCTTTTCTCAATAAATTATGCACGTTAACATTACATTAAATCAAGAGTGTTTTTTTTCCTTTGAGAAAAGCAGGGGAGAAAAGCGTTTTTCTCAAAGGAAAGAGTCTTTCTTTTTTAAGACATAAATTGCGTTGAAACTCAACTTGATTCACATGTTATATAAAATATTTTGGTATATTTTACTTGTAACTCGCCCTGGTTAAAAAACGAACATTTCATTTTTTATACATTCAATAATTTTATTTTATTCATTATTTGTTTTTAGTTTCCATTCGCACTTTTTTAAAAAAAAAATTATGATGCCCCTATAAAATCTTAAGTAAAATATATTTGAGACATAAATTTTGGATTTTATTTTCAGTAATTCACACTGTGGGACACTGCATAAATTTTTACCACGTTTCTACACAAAACACGGATAACCTGCGATGCCTTACTCAAGAAATCAATTTTGAGTAAGTTACAAATTGCCTTGAAATGTTTTTAGAATTTAAAAAAACTTTATTCATTTGATTTTTTTTTAAATTTCAGATCTGATTTCAAACCTACCATATGCTATTGGCTTTTTCAAACGGTGACTGGTAAAACTAATTCATTTCCTTATCATTTTTTTCATTCTTGTTTCTCAAAATTGAATTTGTTACCTCAAAATGTTTAAGTATTCGAAAGAAAACATAAGGGCTTAACAGGGCGCGGAAACAAAACTCGAACAAAGTTATTGCATCATAGAATACGTATAAACGAATTTCTTTTCAATTTTATGTCTTATTGGTCTATTATTTTAATTGTAAAATATTTTGAGCTCTGACCACTACGGGAAGGAGGGCGAACGAACTTTTATTTGTATACCTATCTTGCTCTTTTTATATCTATTCAAGAAAAATAACAGTTTATCTGAAGTCTAATCTTTTTGCTGAAAAGATCGCTTTTCTTTGAAAAACGTTTAGCGGTCTGAAAATTTTAAAATTCTTAAGGTGGTAACTGCTAGTCGGGGAAAAAAATAGTGCGTGGAGTCCCTCCGCGCGGAAGAAGTTAAACTTCGCAACCTGCGACGTTAATTGTAGAAGAATCAGCAGTCGTTGAAGGATCACTAGTTCTATTCAACGACTCTTTTTTCTACTCCGCTCGCTTCTGTGCTCTGTAATCACGTTAATATTGTGCATTTTTCTCTCTTGAACCAGTGGAAGTGCTTGTGATTCGTCTCGCCCTGGAAAATGTATTTGTATTAATAATGCATGTGAATGCGTCATAATATAATTTCAGAAGAGAAAGCCTGACAATCAATTGATATTCACAAGAGACGTACCTTGACATAACCTTAAATCTGTCGCATTGTCCGTGGGATTGTTTTCACTCATTTTTTACAATTGTTATCCAATTAAATTTGAAAATAAAAAATACTACCCTATTAAATTATATGTGTATCAAATCAAACTACAAAATATTTATGGTAAAACAATACTTTTATTATTTTTATGCTAGTGAGAACCAAAACATTATGGAAATGAATGAGGGAAAACTGGATCCTACCACGTGATTTCCCGGCCAATAAAAATGTAGCGTTAAACGTTTAACGCAACCTTGTTGGAAGTCGCATAAGAAGTATAACTTCAAAAAAATTTAAAATTATTCTTCACCGTATATTTAATTTTACCTCCATACAAAATTTATCCCGTTCCCTCCAAGGATATACTACACTCATCGTCAAAAGATCATATGTTGGCAAAGTTATTTTATGATTTCCTTAATTACGAAAAGCTTTCCATACAACTTGTATGCTTGTTTTGCCTTAAAGCAAATTGCAACTTTTTCTTATAAGTAATCAACATGCATAAAAATGCTACATATTTTAAAAGAATTTGACATGTTTTATCACTTTAAAATGTTATAAATGTAATTGTTAATCTCTCTACTCTAAATCTCCTGAAAAGCCTCCAAGGAAATTTTTTAAAACACAATTCGATTGAGATTGATGACATTTGATTTACATATTTCAATTAAATCGCTGCTAAACTTATGTAATGGTATATATTTTTTCCAGGTGCAACTGGCATGCTGTTATATGTTGTCATCTGCATAATTTTTACTTTCGCTCATTCCAGCATTCGAGAGAAGGCTTATAAATATTTTTGGTTAACGCACTCTTTGTACGTAGTGCTTTATATACTCCTCCTCATTCATGGGTTAGCTAAAATAACTGGCGTAAGTACAAATTCTTATAGCGTAACAAAATTCATCTACACTTAAACATCGTTATAAACAAAGAATTTTGCAATATAGACAGGGTTTTTTTAAATTTTCCAATCTTAGAACCCTACTGATTACTCGAGTAAGTTCCAAACAATTATAATTTTCTAGACATCTAGTGGTTAAAAGCGGGAAAAGGTAGTACCCTCTATACGCTAAATGCTAACAGATGGATCTAGTTGTCTATTCGAAAGCACAGCATAACAATTATTTTATTTTATAACCAACGTTGAACAGCCGACCCAAATTTTGAGTTTAAGATTACTAATTCTCAATTCCAGAACTTTGTAATTTTGAACCCAATTCAGAAGACAAGGGTACCAAGTATTAGAAGAAATTTGCTTTCTTGGAGGACATTTTGAGGGAACTAGCCAGCATTTGTGTTAAATGGAGAGGAAAACCACCCACGTGATGGAAAGGGAACTTTAATCCATGATTCGTCTACACCTGAGTATAACCTTACGTCACAATTGAGGTCTGTGCAAGCCTGGTGCGGAATTCGAATTCCAGTCATCGCTGGGATTCGAACCCATTTCACCTCATTGAGAGACGACTCTCTACCCCTTGATCCACCACGGCTCAAGGAAAACAACTGAATATTCTATTCAGGCGAAGAAAGAAAAATTGTCTGCTGTGAAATAAAGTAGTGTGTAAGCCCGTTTAACGGTTCTCAGCAGATCACCGAAGTCAAGCATCACTGGCTGCCGTCAGTGTGGGGGTGGGTGACCACTTGGATCAGTCTGCGTAGGGACCGAGATTGTGCGGTATTGGTTCTCGTTAAACTGTTCTACCGTAAAGTTCTCGACTTCGCATGCAGGTCGTCGGGCTACCGAAGGGGGGGTGCCATCCCCTCTGCAGAGAATCAAAATTGGGAAGGCTTGTCATCGGGTCATCCTCAGGGATGTTTCCCAGACCATCGCCAATAGCCTATCGTGCAGCTCTAGTGCGACGTAAATGAACTACAGCAACAACAAAGCCCGTTTAAAGGACATCTAATCACCCAAAGCCCATACATAACATAATGTTTATTTGAATTGTTTGTGTTTTGTTATGATTTACTAATATAAAAAGGGAGCAAAAGATAGATAGTGAGTGCAATACATACAAATATCAATGGAACTTTCAATATATTGAAATTTGCATTCGAAATATATTTCGTGATTCGGTTAACCAGAAAGAGGGCGATATGTTTGATTTGCTATGAAACCATAACCGTTCTCAAAGAATATAACATTAAACCTCATTAGGAAACGAAACATATTTATAATTGCTTAAAACATACAGGAAGTTTGTGGACAGAAACTTTAGAAGAGCGAAGATTTTCAAGCGCGAATAACGCTAGATTTTCTGTAACGGTAAATGGGAAAGCATGGGGAGAGGGGAAATCATGTTACCTTGAAACTCCTATTCCATTTAACAAGGGAGTAAATTATTCTTTCTCAAATGCAATTTAAATTTATCCATAGCTTGTTATTCAGATAAAGTGTATTAAAATTACATCAACCAGTGTGCTATTTAATTTTTCCAATTTATTTTTCAATCAGTCACCTCGATTTTGGATGTTCTTCGTGGGTCCAGCAATCTTATTTGCACTTGACAAAGTGGTCAGTCTTCAGACGAGATATATGGAATTAGACATTCTTGAAACGGAGCTTCTGCCTTCAGGTAAGAAAATTAGATCAAAAAATCTAGTCATATGAATAAAATATACCGCGTTCAACAACTATTGCCCCGATTCTATCTTTGATTTCGTATCGTTACAAAGGTTTCCATGAAATTGAGTAATAACGTGAATTGTACTTAGTGAGTCATAAGCTATCCTGCTAATTTATAGTAATTATGTACTGGACTATATCAATGGAAACTGGAGGAAGCCGTAATTGCGAGATTGAGTTGTTATTTTTTTAAAGGAGATCAAATGAAATTGTGAACAGTTAGGATAGCGAGTGGATGTAAGATTAGTTAGAGTATCTGTACTTGAATAAGTACACATTGCGATGTATCTGTTCTTCATTTGTGTTTTTCATCATTTGTAAATAAATCATCTTTGTATTATATTCGTTCATTGGTTCTGTTTAGTAAAGAAATCCATCATTGAAATACACTGAGTTGGCAAAAGTGATATTATGTCTCTTAGTATCATGTTGTACTTGTTGTACTTAGTATCATGTTGTACTTAGTATCATGTTGTACTCGGCGTGGCATGAACTCAACAAGTAGTTGGAAGTCTCTTGCAGAAAAATTCTACCATGCAGTCTCACTAGATGCCCATAATTGTGACAGTGTTATGGGTGCGGGATCTTTTTCCACGAACTGATCTCTGGATTATATTGCTAAGTGTTTGATGGGATTCATGTCTAGGTGACCAAATCATTTGCTGGAATAGTCTAGAATGTTTTTCGGAATATTCGCGAATAATTAAGGCCCTGTGACATGGCGCATTGCCATCCATAAAACTGTCGTCCTTGTCTGAATCCATGAAATCCATGAATCCAAGTCGTCTCCGAGTAGCTGAACAGAACCACTTCCAGTCAACGATCGGTGCAATCTGATCATAGGGCCCAATACAGGTCGTAAAAAATTTGCACACATTATTAAGGAGCCACCACCAGATTACCAGAGTGCATTGTTGACAACTTGGGTCCATTGCATCGGGGTCTGCGCCATACTCGGACTCTCCCACCAGCTCTGAGCAACTGAAATAATGACTCATCTGACTAAGCTACAGTTTTCCCAATCATCTAGGGTCCAACCAATAGGGTCACAAGTCCAGGAGAGTTAATAGACGTGATGTCGTACTGTTAGTAAATACACTCGAGTCGGTCTTCTGCTGCCGCATCCCATTAAAGATGAATTTCGCCACACTATTCTAACAAACATGTCCATTACACGTCCTGCATTGATGCTTGCGGCTATTTTACGCCATATTAATTGTCTGTCAACACTAACAATTATATATGCACACTCTAATGGTCTCCGTTGTTAAGTTCAGGCTAGCAGCCACTACGTTATTCATGGTGGAAGGTTGGTTATGCCTAAAAATAAGCATTCTTGGCACACTTTTGATACTGTAAGTCTAGGAATGTTGAATTCCCTCAAATTTTTTTAAATGAAATCTCCCATGCGTTTAGCTTCGATTATTATTTCCCGTTCAAAGTCTGTTAATTCTCGTCCTGCGGTCATAATTACAGCAGCATTCGCAGATGAATAACTTAAACACAAATTAAAGTCCTGCCAATGCACTATCCATACATATATTTTACACGCGATACTACTGCCATCTGTGTATTTTATTGTTGTCCCACGGCTTTTGTCACCTCTTTGTAGAATGAAACAATCTTTTTTTTTATCTCTGTTTGTAAAAACTTCAGAAGAACTTAATCTAATTTTTCAGATGTGACCAAAGTCAAATTCAGTCGTCCACCTAACTTCAAATATTTATCTGGTCAGTGGGTTCGCCTCTCTTTCACAGCCTTTCAACCATCTGAGAGCCATTCTCTTACCTTAACGTCTGCCCCTCACGAAAATTATCTCTCTGTGCACGTGAAAGCACAAGGGCCCTGGACATGGAAACTTCGAAACTTCTTCGATCCCAGTGCAGACATTCGCCCGAAGGTAAATGACATCTCTATCTCTAATCACATTGGTTTACGTAGTTTTAAATGGCAAAAAAAGCTTAAAATTTGAAGGGAATCGGTAAAATAATTCTTGAGAATAAAAAATTTTAAAATACGACTACTTTGAAACGATGTAATACAGAAAAAAGGAAGTTAACATTTACAGCTTAAACTTTCGACATCTCTAAAGCCTAAGGTATTGGAGCATATTTTATTCCTCACATTTTTTTGGATGAAAAATCTAAATTTATCAATAGGAAGAAAAAAATTCTTTTTTCAGAGATAATACATTTATGTGGCTGATTTCTGAACTTAAAATATTGTTAGCACTAATTAATTTGAAAATTTAAGGTGAATCTCTTGAGGTTTCAAGTACAAGCTTAGAAAATTGTCTTTGTTTTTTAACTATTAAGTTTTTTTAATTTTCTCTTTTACCTATACTTTAGTTTTAATCAAAATATAATTTTTCTTAAAATGGAATTTGTGTTTGTTAAGAAAGAAATTAGTTGTTTTTCTTTCTAAAAATTAGGTTTATCAAATTTTTGAGAAATTGACTATTCACAATTTAAATATATAAACTTTCGGCTTCTTCACACAGGCCTTAAAAGCACGCAAGATTGTTTCCTAGTCAGATCATAATCAAATATTAGGACGCTATCTCTCTTATGCACTATACATTGTTATTTGTTATAAGGGGCATAAAACCTTAAATGCATGAATTTTTGTTCTCAATAAAAAAAACCCGGAAAATGGGTTTAGTTACTGGGGAAAATATTAACAGAAACCACATAAGATTTAAATTTTAAAAAAAACATATTGATGTATTTCTACATTATGAACAATTATTTCTTGAGCTCTACAAATCTACTGCGTACAGTAATATAATATTTCAATCATAAATTTTAATAAAAACAATCATTTTCCAACGTAAGTACTTTCTATGTAAAAAACCTTAATTCGTAACACCCGCAGAAATAAAATTGTTCTTAGATAGAACGTCAAGAATGAAAATTGTTACAAAGATATAAATAACCAAAGATTCTAGTTTCGTTCGGAAACGGTAAAATAGTTTTGGAAAATTAAAATCGAAAAGTGAAATCGCACTTTACAAAAATTGTTACATAAGAAGATATGAGATTTCAAACCTACGATGCAGATCTGGATTTAGTATGCATTTAAGGGATAAGCCTGTAAATTGAACTTTTTTGCTTTCAAAAATTTACTCCCTCTTTCATTATTTCAGCCCGGACAAAAAGTGCGCCTAGAGGGTCCATTCGGTGGAGGAAACCAGGACTGGTACAAATTCGAAGTGGCCATAATGGTTGGAGGAGGCATCGGAGTTACCCCCTATGCATCCATTCTCAATGATCTCGTGTTTGGTACATCCACTAACAGATATTCTGGAGTAGCTTGCAAAAAGGTATGATGGAGATTCTTTTTTTAAAAAAAAGGAAATTTGCTTATCTATTATTTACTCGTTTTTTCATCTAGTAATCTTTGTCATATTGACGCGAATCTATCAAATAAAACGATTTCATAATAAAGGATAAAATAAAAATACTTAGGGAACGTTTGTATCTGCATATCAAACATGTTATTAATAATATTATATGATTTATTCTACTCTGAATAGAGAAAAGAATATATCGTATTTATTCATTCTTTTGTTAGTTGAAAAAGAATTAATGATCGTGTCCGTCAACGTTTCGACAAATATCTGTAAAATATTTAACATAAAAATAAGTCATCCACTCCCAGATAGTAAAATAAGGTTCATTTTCGCTTAGCAAAAACCTTTTAATGTTAACCTAAAAAGGTTTGATGTGCGGTTTATGTGTAAACCTTCTAACCTTGAAACAAGATCTGTGACAATCTGCTCTCTATTCTACTCACATTTCCCTAATCCAAAACCTTGGAAAACAATCTTCAATATGAAAACCTTAAATCGAGGTTGACGTAGGGTTTTCAGGCGTGAAAAAACCATTTAATAAAACCTTTCTCAAGGGGGAAATAATCTTAAATCTAGGTAATTATACGGTTTCTTTTCGCAAAGTCTTGTATGCTCAGCTAAAATCCACCTTGTCACGAAATTTCAATGGACAATGCAATTTGATCCTATCTATAGTGTGATGTCAACTAAAGCGTCATTATGAACCTATGGCGTCATTATGGACCATGTTTTCTGGGACTGGTACAATTTGATAATTTGCATAAATTTGCTTGTAAGTTGTTTGGTATTACTTACTTGTGAGCGTAAACATTCTCCAAAATGAAGTACACAAAGAATGTTTACTAACATAGAACACTGCTCGATAGAACCAAATATAGACCCACTGAAAGACCTTCCGAGGGTTTTCTTTCACGAGGAACTTTTGGCCTCAAGTAGTAAGAAAAATCAGCATCCAGCACTTCTTAAACAGTTGGCATTGGAGACAATCCACAACACCCCAAATGAAGCAGTACATATTTTCACGGATGGAAGTAAATTTGATAATGGCAACACTGGTAGTGGTGTTGTCATAAAAAAACCAAGATGACGTTGCAAAATTAAAAGGCGTAACCCAAACCATTGTTCAGTTTTCAGATCAGAACTAATCGCCATAAACGCGGCTCTAGAACACATGATTTCCATTGAGAGTACAAAGAATATCTGGATTTTCACGGATAGTAAGAGCTCAGTTCAATACCTGAGTAATTGGCAAAACATCAGTGACAGAATTGGCCTAAATATCATCGACAATTTGATGACTTACTCTTATCACAATGATATACATCTTCAGTGGATCCCCTCCCACGTGAACCTTCACTTTAATGATCTGGCCGATGAACTGGCCAAGGAGGGCTCCAATGATCCCATAGATAGTAGTGGCCTTCTAACATACAATGAAATCTATGCAAAAGTAAAGGCCGACAATAATAGGACTTGGAGGATTCCACCTAGTCGTGAATGGTATCAACAAAATAGTCCTGATGCTGCCCTGGAGCTAAAAGGTGATAGGAAACTGCAGACAGCTATCACATGACTAATCACGGGTCATACCCGCGGACTAACATTTGTTCAGGGCCAAAAGACGTTCCCTGTATGCCTAAAATGCAATGCTCACCAGGCTTCACCTGATCATTTGCTGTCCTGTATGGGACTGGAGAAAAAAAAAATTTTGGAGGATCCGTAGATGGTGTTTGATTTTCTGTCGGTGAACGGTCTCCTGGACTTGGTCTAGCCTTGTTCTAGGCCAAGAGGAATAAGTACCACCAAGAATGTTTACAGATCTATATAACCGATCTCGTTATAAATATGAATCTGAATGCTGATCTCTTAATTAATACTTAAAAAAATTTTAAAAAATAAATAAAAATAAAAAAACTGAATGTTTTTCATGGTCTCGAAAAGTATTGAATGACTCGCAGTGTTAAATAAAAGTTTGTAAACTTGGATGAGAATACGTTTGTTAAAGTTAGATTTTTAAATTAATGTGCCTGCTATGAGGCTTAACACTACTATTAGAAGATTATTTAATTTCTATAGTTACGTGTTTTACAAATATTAAACCCTTTAAACAAAGGGGGGGAGGTTTTTCTGATGAAAATATTAATGTAGATAAGAAATGTAATATTTTAATAAATATATCTTTAAATAAAATATATTTCTTTAAGATAAATATTTATTTACAAATAATTTTAAAACAAAAAAATTAATTAATTAAATTAAATAAATCAAAATTGTTATTGAACTCATTTAAATCTAACATACTTGTTTTCAAAAATTATTATTTCAAATTTTTGAGTTTTCAAGCAACTGGATTTTAAGTTATGAATAATTTTATCGCCATAATACTGTTACTGTTATATGATAATAAATTGAAGTTTTATTACTCAAAGCTTTAGAAATTAAAATAATTTAAAAATCTAAATCATTCAAGTAATAAAAATATTTTGATAAACGAACCTTGCTTAATCACGTTTATCGTTTTCACAATTGGAAAAGCTTCCAGGCAAATAGATAATGAGTTCAAAGAGGCTGATGTAATGAATAATCATAAACAGCTGCCTCTTCTTTAGAAGCACTTTTCCTCTTAAATGCAATAAAAATCAAGAATCCAAATTCTAATAGAAGTGTTATGATTTCAAGGAAATTCAAAGCAACACATTCCCAGTCATTTGTTAACCAGCAGCAACTGATCAATACTAATTATACAAATTAATATTCTCAGAAAAATCCCTTCACGATCCACGTACAAAAGAGAATCGTTAGCTTCGCTTACAAAAAAGCGTTTAATGTTACAAAACACTTTTAGAAGATAAAAAATCGTCTGCTTTTTCATTTATTCTTTAAAGTGTTGCATTTTCATTTGTAACATCTAAGTTATATCGTGCAATTTTACGGATTTTAATTCATAATCAAATCTTGTGTTAACGCCATTAAACATTTGTCGCAAAATTTACAAAAATAAATTAAAACACTTTTTCGGTAACAAACTATTTCGTAATGCAACAATTTCTAGATAGAGGTAGATGCGTTAATTAATTTTACATAAAATCTTTTATAGCTCGATGAATAGCTAGGATGATGATGTAATGGATTTTTTTCTCCTCTTTTGAAGTATTTGCATATTTGTTCCTTTTTTTTACCATTTTTAAAGACACTTTTCATAGTTATTTTTGATAATTTTTTGTTACTTGTTCGATTTTGTTCCCGTTTTAGTCATTTTTTTAAAATCAACTTTGGCCTTTCCTTTTAAGAAAAGTTTGCTAGGGAATTAATAAATTACAGTAAATTACACATTGAATCTACGTTTTTTGCTCCAATAAAAAGTGTTGATATTGATCCAAGTTTTCAAGATACATAAGAATTTTCTTTTGAATGAAAGTCGTTCTTTCAATTTTTAGAATATTGAAAAGGGTTAGATAAATTCTGATGTTCTACTTGATTATAACTAAAGATTAATTAATTCTCATTTATCTTTATTAGGTGTCTATATACATATCATTTTATTCAAAAATCACACATTTATTTTAGTTAAAATTTTATATTTATTAAATTATTAAATACAAGTTAGTATTTAGAGTACAAAAAACTAATGTAAAACATTGCGACGAAAATTAAAGGAATTAAAAGGCATTATTTTTTATTTTAAGGTAATTTTTATGGTTTCAAGAATTTTTAAGTCATTAGCATCCTAATCCTGGTAATGAGTAATAATAATAATTATAATACTAATACACAATTTAGTAATTAAAACGAAATTTTTCCTTCTAAAGTCTAATGTCCGAGTATTCATTTAAAGTTTGAAAAAAAATTGGAATAGTTTTCCTAAATGACTTTCCACTCTTCGAAGACTACCCCTATCCCTATTCTTTACTTCATTTTTTTATTTTTAGTAATAGTTATTATTTTATCACCGAACTGACAATTATTATTCAATAGGTGTATTTCCTATGGGTCTGTCCATCACATCGAGATTTTGAATGGTTTATTGACGTACTACGTGATGTCGAAAGAAAAGACGTCACTAAGGTTTTGGAGGTTCACATTTTCGTCACTCAGTTTTTTCACAAATTTGATCTCAGGACAACAATGCTGGTAAGGATCATTCTTTAAGAATATTCCAAGAATATGAAACTGTTAGAAATGCACTTAAATTCATTCGAAAACTCACTTTTTTCTTAAATTCTTTAGTACTATGATCAGAAACGAAATAGCTCAGCTGTTCTGTTATCTCGAAAATATATGTTCTCTATGCATAATTTCTTTTATTTCAATTTAAAAAATTTTTACGTTGTTAAGAAACATAAACATGGCATAAACATGTTTCAAAAGCCAGGAAATAAAATATATAGAAAAAGATGTTTAAAAATATTTTAAAAAAAATATTATTTTATATTATTATTTTATTCAAAAATAAAAAATAAGTTCTCAACCATATAATTAAGCTAATGCAGAGAAATTTCTTCTGAAACTAATCATTGCCAACAAAATAAAAAGAAATCGTTCAGTATTTACTGTTTTATTATTATTTCAAAAAGAAAAATTACAGCAAATCAAAGAAAACAGGAAATTATACTAAAATTATTAAAGACCACTTGATTTATCTCAAAACCAATTAAATCGAAAACAATTTTAAAATGTGTGTTCAAAAAATGTATGAAAAAAATCTATTTACGAACGTGCACATGTCTTTTTTATTAAAAAAAATGTAGCGAAACAAGTGCGCATCTCACATATATATTTTTTTTCTTGTTTCTTTTTCTAGTACATATGTGAGAATCACTTCCAAAGAATTTCCAATCGAAGAAGCATCTTTACTGGTTTGAAAGCAGTCAATCATTTTGGAAGACCAGACATGAGTTCTTTCCTGAAATTTGTCCAGCATCAGCATTCCTATGTAGGCATAAATCTTCCATATTACAATTTTCTTAATGGTATTATTAACTCCATGGCGCTTCCCGATCATTTTACACATACCAGCTGCGATATATATATATGGCTGGTCAATACGAATTCCGCATCCGGCTTGCACCGACCGCAGTGCTGACGTGAAATATACACAGTGGTAGACGGATCATGGGTTAGAGTCCCGTTGCGTCAGGCTAACNTAGAAGGATATAGATATCCTTATAGATAGAAGGATATAGATATCCTTATAGATAGAAGGATATAGATATCCTTATAGATAGAAGGATATAGATATCCTTATAGATAGAAGGATATAGATATCCTTATAGATAGAAGGATATAGATATCCTTATAGATAGAAGGATATAGATATCCTTATAGATAGAAGGATATAGATATCCTTATAGATAGAAGGATATAGATATCCTTATAGATAGAAGGATATAGATATCCTTATAGATAGAAGGATATAGATATCCTTATAGATAGAAGGATATAGATATCCTTATAGATAGAAGGATATAGATATCCTTATAGATAGAAGGATATAGATATCCTTATAGATAGAAGGATATAGATATCCTTATAGATAGAAGGATATAGATATCCTTATAGATAGAAGGATATAGATATCCTTATAGATAGAAGGATATAGATATCCTTATAGATAGAAGGATATAGATATCCTTATAGATAGAAGGATATAGATATCCTTATAGATAGAAGGATATAGATATCCTTATAGATAGAAGGATATAGATATCCTTATAGATAGAAGGATATAGATATCCTTATAGATAGAAGGATATAGATATCCTTATAGATAGAAGGATATAGATATCCTTATAGATAGAAGGATATAGATATCCTTATAGATAGAAGGATATAGATATCCTTATAGATAGAAGGATATAGATATCCTTATAGATAGAAGGATATAGATATCCTTATAGATAGAAGGATATAGATATCCTTATAGATAGAAGGATATAGATATCCTTATAGATAGAAGGATATAGATATCCTTATAGATAGAAGGATATAGATATCCTTATAGATAGAAGGATATAGATATCCTTATAGATAGAAGGATATAGATATCCTTATAGATAGAAGGATATAGATATCCTTATAGATAGAAGGATATAGATATCCTTATAGATAGAAGGATATAGATATCCTTATAGATAGAAGGATATAGATATCCTTATAGATAGAAGGATATAGATATCCTTATAGATAGAAGGATATAGATATCCTTATAGATAGAAGGATATAGATATCCTTATAGATAGAAGGATATAGATATCCTTATAGATAGAAGGATATAGATATCCTTATAGATAGAAGGATATAGATATCCTTATAGATAGAAGGATATAGATATCCTTATAGATAGAAGGATATAGATATCCTTATAGATAGAAGGATATAGATATCCTTATAGATAGAAGGATATAGATATCCTTATAGATAGAAGGATATAGATATCCTTATAGATAGAAGGATATAGATATCCTTATAGATAGAAGGATATAGATATCCTTATAGATAGAAGGATATAGATATCCTTATAGATAGAAGGATATAGATATCCTTATAGATAGAAGGATATAGATATCCTTATAGATAGAAGGATATAGATATCCTTATAGATAGAAGGATATAGATATCCTTATAGATAGAAGGATATAGATATCCTTATAGATAGAAGGATATAGATATCCTTATAGATAGAAGGATATAGATATCCTTATAGATAGAAGGATATAGATATCCTTATAGATAGAAGGATATAGATATCCTTATAGATAGAAGGATATAGATATCCTTATAGATAGAAGGATATAGATATCCTTATAGATAGAAGGATATAGATATCCTTATAGATAGAAGGATATAGATATCCTTATAGATAGAAGGATATAGATATCCTTATAGATAGAAGGATATAGATATCCTTATAGATAGAAGGATATAGATATCCTTATAGATAGAAGGATATAGATATCCTTATAGATAGAAGGATATAGATATCCTTATAGATAGAAGGATATAGATATCCTTATAGATAGAAGGATATAGATATCCTTATAGATAGAAGGATATAGATATCCTTATAGATAGAAGGATATAGATATCCTTATAGATAGAAGGATATAGATATCCTTATAGATAGAAGGATATAGATATCCTTATAGATAGAAGGATATAGATATCCTTATAGATAGAAGGATATAGATATCCTTATAGATAGAAGGATATAGATATCCTTATAGATAGAAGGATATAGATATCCTTATAGATAGAAGGATATAGATATCCTTATAGATAGAAGGATATAGATATCCTTATAGATAGAAGGATATAGATATCCTTATAGATAGAAGGATATAGATATCCTTATAGATAGAAGGATATAGATATCCTTATAGATAGAAGGATATAGATATCCTTATAGATAGAAGGATATAGATATCCTTATAGATAGAAGGATATAGATATCCTTATAGATAGAAGGATATAGATATCCTTATAGATAGAAGGATATAGATATCCTTATAGATAGAAGGATATAGATATCCTTATAGATAGAAGGATATAGATATCCTTATAGATAGAAGGATATAGATATCCTTATAGATAGAAGGATATAGATATCCTTATAGATAGAAGGATATAGATATCCTTATAGATAGAAGGATATAGATATATTATAGATAGAAGGATATAGATATCCCTATAGATAGAAGGATATAGATATCCTTATAGATAGAAGGATGTACTTATAGATAGAAGGATATACATATCCTCATAGATAGAAGGATATACATATCCTTATAAATAGAACGATATACATATCCTTATAGATAGAAGGATATAGATATCCTTATAGATAAAAGGATATGGGTATGCTTATATAGATAGAAGGATCTAGGCATGCTTATATAGATAGAAGGATAAAGATATTCTTATAGATAGTCCTTATAGATAAAGATATCCTTATAGATTGTCCTTATAGATAAAGATATCCTTATAGATAGCCACTAAATTCATTAAATTTGAAATTTATAAAACTTCTCAATTCTATATTTATTATTTCAGGTGAGCAAAGTTGGGGTATTCAGCTGTGGTCCTTCTGCACTGACGAACAGCGTAAGCGCTGCTTGCCAAAGCGTCAACAATCACCGCCGCTTGCCTTATTTCTTACACCATTTCGAAAACTTCTAACGGAAACAGGAATCAACGTATTTCCTGATTTCACTGTGGTCAGTATTTGGCGACCAAGCTACCCAAAAAGCCCATAAGGACGGAACGAGTTAATACGGCATTTAACAGGATTATGACATGCGTAATACGGCAGCTAAACACTTGGTTTATATGCGTAATATTGATATAAACTGTGACACTTTGTTTCTAGACACCAATGAATTTCATTGTGACACCAATAAGATCTGGCTTGCTTCTGAAAGCATGTAATTTTATAAATAAAAATTATTTAAAATATGAAGTCAGTGGATTTATTCTGTGTTGATAAAGCTAAAATGATTTTTAGATGTTTTTGTATATAGTTTTAAAAACTTAAATAAACATCGATTATGAAATTAGTTACAGTGCCTTGTTGGCAAGAGTTTCTTCGTCTCTTGAGTTTGATTGTATACCCACCTGCACTTTATTTATAAAATGAAAATGTAATTTATATTTTAGAATTCTAAGAGAACTTTTAGCTCAATGGTGTTTATTCTATTTTTAACCAAATTCATTTGTTTAATCGATCATGATTGTATCGAGAAATGAAAGTTGATTTATTGAGAAAATTACATTGTCAGCAAAATCGACTTTCATCCTTATTAGCAACACTTAAACTTGCAAATACTTAACTAGTTTCTATTGCACGTAATTCAATATTAAATTTTGAGTATAATTAAAAAAAAATTTATAACTCTAAACGCAATAATAAAAAATTACTTGCTACAATCATAGTTAGTAATATAGAGGTTAAAAATTGAATCAAAACAGTGAAAAATTTATCTCTTTTATTTATTATCAATACAAAAAAATATGTATTTTGTACTTATGTAAGACCATGCTCTCTTCTGCACGGTCCTAAAATTTTAAAAATTAAAATACAGCAGGAGTTTCAGATTAAAACTAACTTCGAAAGCTTTACTTAAAATTATTAAATTATTATTAAATTTTACAAAGAGAATTTTGCGTCTAAATTTGCGTTACATCAAATTGGTGAAAAAAATTTCCCGAATCGATAAATTCATTTTATTGAATATTTTCCAATATTATTTAGATTTGATGCAATTCTAAAATTGACTTCAGAACTTCAAAAAGAAAAAAAAGTGCATCGAGTCATTCATTGCCATTCGTTTCGTTTCATTCGATTTTGTCATTCGTTACGAGAAATTATGACTGTCCCTGATATTTTTTTTCTTTCCTTTTCCTGTGAAACATACTTTTGCGTATCTCCCCCCGCATGTTTGTGATACGGTCATACGTAAGATACGAAGAGTATCATGTGTTACACCACGTACTATAGAAACAATTGAAATTTTTTTCATTAATGCTAAAATCATTCTTGAAACATTTAACAAAATAAATTTGTATCACTTTTGTTCGACCTATTTCAATTTTCAAAAACTTCAAAGAACAACAATTAATCACAAATTAACTTTCTCCTTAAGAGACTGGTTTCGAAAGCATCTCATTCACTTTTGTTATTTTTTAAAATTCTTCCTTACATTACAATTTTTTTTTTTAAATTTGAAATGTTTTTTTTTAATATTGTTATGATCAGCCATTATTTTATAATAGGGAGGAGAAGGAATGCAGGTTTTTCTCATTTTTAGGCGATGGCAAAAGGGTGAGAGGAAAGTAAGCTTGTTTATTTATTTATTTTTATAAACCCGCTTTTTAAAGAGATATTATTATGATTTTAAAGAGGTTTATTAGGATTTTAAATATGTATTTAAGAGATCTTTTTTCCTTACGTATTTTTAACGTAACTTTTCCTTTTCTGCGTGTTTTGAGTTCACATTTCAGTAGCATTTTTTTTACGAAAACATGCTTTTAACTTTTTCTTTCTAAAAAAATACGGCTAAGACGTTATTAATTTTAAAATAGTTCAAATCATAAATTCAAAATTCGTATAAAAATACGAATTATTTCTAAAAGATCACCTTGAAGGTGAAATTACTCAGAACAATTAAAACAATCGAAACATTACGTTCCTCTTTAACACTACAATTTAAGTTGCCCCCGTCTTTTTTTTTTATTATCGAAATGGCGATTTATATTTCCGTTATTAATATTGTTCATTTTAAATCAATCGTAACGNCATATTTTTAAAGTAACTTTTCCTTTTCTGCGTGTCTTGAGTTCACATTTCAGTAGCATTTTTTTTTACGAGAACATGCTTTTAACTTCTTCCTTCTAAAAAAAATACGGCTCCATAGACGTTATTAATTTTAAAATAGTTCAAATCATAAATTCAAAATTCGTATAAAAAGACGAAATATTTCTAAAAGATCACCTTGAAGGTGAAATTACTCAGAACAATTAAAACAATCGAAACATAACGTTCCTCTTTAGCACTGCTATTTAAGTTGCCCCTGTCTTTTTTTATTATCGAAATGGCGATTTATATTTCCGTTATTAATATTGTTAATTTTTAATTAATCATAACGTTTTGCTCTTTACAGAAAATCGAATGCTCGGTTTATCCTTTGTGTCAATAGCTTTATGCGTTGTTTTTCAATATTCTAGTAAAAAAAAAGAAGAAAAAAAAAGGTTCAAAAACGTTTAAACATAAAAAAATAATATTATTTGTAATAAATAATATTTTATACATATATATTCCTTTTTTTCGGAATTTTTCTTCTTCCGGATTCTTATTATTTTTATTTAATCATTATTTTTCTTTTACCCCTTTTTTCATTGTTCTGTAATTTCTTCCATGTTTTCTCTACATTTTGAACTTATTTTATGAGTTCTATTTACTTGCAGCTTATGAGCAGTAAATAGAACTTATTGTTTTTCTTCATTTACTTCCTGTTTTTTTTATTTTTTTTTTTATTTTTTATTTTTTTTTTTTTTGTATTTAATTAATATGCTATATATATATCGAATATTTTTTTAATTCTTATTTAAATAAGTTTTTATTTGCCCCTTTCGGTGGTCTTAACCCTCTTTTTTTTATCGGCCTATAGTCAAGAGCTCAACACATGTCTGCACGCCACTGATCGCCCATTTATGATGATGAAATTTTGCAATTCAGTTCACGGAACGCGAGTGAGGCAACCGCCACAGCAGATGAATAGCCAAATGTGGTGCAAGCAGCAGCAGCCGCGTGTTGTGAACTTCTTCCGCTGTGCGTTCCCATGCAGGCCCTTTTCTTCTTCTTCGTGAGAGGTCAATGATGTGATGAACTCCATGCCTACTCAATTTGGAAACAACAATCGCCCCGCAACACTCTTTAATTCTTTTCTTTTTTATCATTATTATTATTCATATCTTATAAAACTATAATACACTTCACATCGGCTTCATATTTTTTTTAGGCTATGTTGTTTTTACGATAAACTGGGCTTTTTGTCCTTTATGGCAACCAAATAAGGCAGACTGCAATTTATAGGGCCTCGTTTTCTTGAAAACAATGATTTTTTGAGTTAACAAAATTTAAACAATTATTACGGGAATCGCAATTTTTTAATTGCAATTTCATAATTTGAAATTTTTAATTGCAAATTTTTGCTTTCGAACATAGAACAGTAATTCCCATACATTTTGTAAAAAAGAAGAAAAAAAAGTTTAAAAAAACTCAAAAAGTTTACTAAGCCCCATTTTTCTTGAAAACAGTAATTTTTTTAAGTTTACAAAATTTAAATAATTTTAACGTGAATTGTAAATTTTTAACAGTAATTCCCAAAAATTTTGTAAAAAAATGAATAAAAAAGTTTACAAAACTCTTAACGTGAATTGTAATTTTTAGCATTTATTGCTCTAAGGCATTTAACAGTAATTCCCAAACATTTTGTAAAAAATAAGGAAAAAAAAAGTTTTCAAAACGCTTTGCAGAAAGTTTACAAAACCCCATTTTCTTGAAAATAGTGATTTTTTAAATTTTCAAAATTTAAATAATTTTAACACGAATTGTTATTTCTAACATTTATTGCTTTAGAACTTTGAACAATAATTCCCAAACATTTTGTAAAAAAGAAAAAAAAGTTTACAAAAACTTAAAAAGTTTACAACGCCCCATTTTCTTGAAAACAGTGATATTTTTTAAGTTTACAAAATTTAAATAATTTTAACGGGAATTGTAACTTATAACATTTGTTGCTTTAGAACGTAGAATATTAATTCCCAAACATTGTGCTTGTTTTCAAAAACTAAAAAAAAAATCTTAAAAAATAAAAAAACTTAGCAAACTATTTTTGAAAAATAACTGCTGAATATTAATATATAAGTAAAAAATATAATGACAATTATACATATATTATATGCAGGGGTTTGTCTAGCGAAGTTAATTTTATAATAATAATTTGTCGATAAATATAAATGTGCACGCTTTACTTCTGCATTTAAACAATGAGTTTAGCGAACTTTAAGGATATTTTATTTTTTCTAGTGGTTTTGTCTGTATCTATTTTTTTTAAATGCTATTTCTTTGACAGCACGTGCTTTAATTTTTAACCATGGTTTTAATCAAGAAAATGTCACAATTTCGATACCGGGCCCCAACTGCATAACGCCGGAAAAAGGGGATTGTTTACAAACCATTCCTTCAAAATTTGTAGAATGTTAAGAAAGAACACGATGCAATAAAATTACGAAACCAATGTTGTCAACGTTAAATAGCGACATTTTTTTTCTCTAGAAATTTTCTCATCGTTTATCAGCATACTTTTTATTTTCTAAAATGGTAGAAAGATAAGTATGTAATTTTTTCGATTCCCTGTTTTACACTCTACGTTTTTTAGATTTCATCAATGGATTGTCAAGTCGAATTCGATTTGATTTTAAATTTAATTCATAAAATATAGGCAAATTGTATAAAGCAATAAAATTAATGCTACGATAATTTTGAACCTTGCCGTGTTTTCGATTACCTTCCGGCCTTCTTATTTTAAATAATAAATACGAAATTAAATCATACTGTGCAATTTTAAGGAAAGAAAAAAGTTGGCGTCATATGCAACGAGATGATCAAATCCTCCTGGTAACCCTGGCGACGATATGTTGGCGATACAAGAGTGGGTGTTTTTGTGATGTTGGCCGTGGGAAAGTGAGATGCGTAATTACGGTTGCTCTCTCTCTAAAAGTGTGTTGTTATTCTCTCTTGAAAGATGAGCGACATGGATTCCGAGTGTGATGATGTCTTCACTGAGGATTTAAAGTGTTATTCCTCTTCCACTGATAGTAAAAAGTATGTTAACACTATTTTCTTATATATATATATAATATAAAT